TGAGAATTTGTCAGAGAAACAAAATATTTTGCACCATTTTCAAGAGTGAAGCACATGTTAGCTGACACTTAATATATGTATTTTGCACTAATTTCAAGGGTGAAGCACATGTTAGCTGATTTTGTGTTTAACTTGGTTGATACCTATCAGGAACATATATAATTCTAAGAACGTAATGAATAACTAAGATTTTTGGGCTCTTCAACACTACATAAACTACCTTCCCATTGTTTCACGAGACACCAATAGATTACATAATCCATGTACATTCACTATCATCTTCTCAATATTTGTAAGCCTTACACTATATATATATCGGTCATCAGAATTGAAATCCCGTTGCCCGCTTCGGAAGGACTTTTTAATTTATATATATATATATAATGAAATCAATAAGAATATGACTTTTATCACGATGCTTCGTAGATTTTTAATCTTGTATTATTAGGCTCTATGGACCACAAAGTAAGTTTATCTAAAGCTCAATTTTCTAAAGTACACTGGAGAAATATGTTAGTAAAAATCTTTGCCTAGTGTGGTTGAGCAAATTAACAATATCAATCAATAATGGTGAAAACTAATGTTAGTTTGTTTATCAATAAATAGTTCAACACCAAGACATTCATAACCATTCTAATGCAGAAAAAAAAAATTTTCTTAATAATTTTCTCCCAAATAAATTTTGAGATTATCATTGATCAATCATAACTTATAAAAAAATTGATAAAGGATCCTCTAGTTCATATCAAGCAAACTATAATTAGTGGTTAAATATTACTCTAATTCTTTGACTACAATTTTATAATGTTTTTGTCCACTTAAAAGTTTTTTACTTTATGAGGACCTTGAAAAGATGAGATATTTGCACATAATTTAAATATGATAATTGTTTATCAATTTTTATTACATGGAATAACTTTTTCGTGATAGTCTTTAAATTACTTGAGATAATTCTGTATTTTCCATTATGTCCTCAAATGAGGAAAAAGTATAGAAATTTTCATAGAATGCATCTAACCATGCATTTAGATGGGTTTTACCTCATATTATACCTTCATAGTTAGAAAACATCACTATAATGTTAACAAGATGACTAGGTATAACCCTAATTTTTACTAGAATGTTATCAATGAAGGCCTCTAAATTACTTTTATTAGATCTATAAGCATTATTTATTAGAAAAACATAAATAACTATAATATTCTTCAAACTAAATGACAGAGCATCATAGTTTAAAATTCTTTCATTAATAAAGTTCATATTCTTTGTATCTTTGAGATATATTAATATATGATGGTATCTTAAAAAGTCATCTAAAAAACTAAGAATGAGATAACCCACTAATGAGTAAATTAATTATAAAATCTTGACTGACGTTCTTTATTATAATAATTCATTTTTATCTTTTCTAATTACTTGGATATTAATTTTAAGTTGATCGATGACTAACTTAATGCTTGGTATCAATGTGAGACTCCACAAAGAGTTTGACCCACTTTGGAAACTTTAAGAAGACTTTAATAAGTTTCTCTATCAAAGATAACTCCACTCAACCTCTTAGCTTCAGCCTAAAGATGTATTTCCAAAAAGCTATATAAAACCCTTTTTTTTCATAGCTTAATTGATCAGAAATTTCCCTCATTTTATAAAGCATCCCATTATTTTTATAGATCTACCATCGAAGTAATCATTGTCACTTATTCTAGCCTCTCAATAGGCAACAATAATTATAACAAAAACTTTATTGTTGTCTGGTATATGGTCATTTTCCTTGTATCCATGGATCCCATGCCTAGAATATTTCATCCTTTTTATAATAGTCTTATACTTCCATGTCAGTTTAAAGAATATTTTCTAACTCAACTAATGTACATAAACCTCATAGCACCTAACCAATTTCTAGATTGATATATAATCCATTATGTCCTCCACCCTCTACATCACTCATTGGTAACTCTAATAATGATGCCCATTTTGAAACCATCTCAAACTGATCAAATGTATATTAGACCTCCAAAAAAAATGAGACAAAGTCAAATCAACATGAATTATATTGGAATATAAAATGAGTATGTGAAAGCCTACTAACATAGTGAATTCTTCTTGTTTCCTTTTTTTTCCTATTTTAGTAGGATATTTTCCTTATGCTCTTACTATGGACATAAGCATGCCATTAAAACACTTAAAAGTTATGTGTAATGTCACTTCATTTTCTCTTAGTGATTATTTGGTTTGTTGAAAAAGAAATGCAATATAAAAAGAATATGATGTAAATGTATATTGTTATATTTGGACCATTTTTGGAGTTAATTGGCCCAAAGAAAAATAAATGCATATTTTAACATTTTCATGTTTAGCTTGAAAAAAAAAATAAAATTAGTGTAAAGTAATGTTGGCAATGGTGGGTGTCAGGTGAATGTCGGTGGTCGTTAACTAGTGAACAATGTTAGGTGCAATTATATTAGACTTTTTTTGCAATGTATTTCAAATTCACCAAAATTTGAAAATTTTAGAGTAAAACCCTTTTTCCTCAAACCAAACACTTAACTATTCAAAACCTTTGCATTTGGAAGGCAATGATCCCCTTTTACTTCAAACAAATGAGCCCATTAATAGAAATTACTATTATTAGATTTATAAGCATTATTTATTAGAAAAACATAAATAACTCTAATATTCTTCAATCTAAATGACAGAGCATCATAGTTTAAAGTTCTTTCATTAATCAAGTTCATATTCTTTGTATCTTTGAGATATATTAATATATGATGATATCTTAAAAATTCATCTAAAAAACTAAGAATGAGATAAGCCACTAATGAGTAAATCAATTATAAAATCTTGACGGACGTTCTTTATTATAATAATTTATTTTTATCTTTTCTAATTACTTGGAGATTAATTTTAAGTTGATCGATGACTAACTTAATTCTTGGTATCGATGTGAGACTCCACAAAGAGTTTGACCCACTTTGCAAACTTTAAGAAGACTTTAATAAGTTTCTCTATCAGATAACTCCACTCAACCTCTTAGCTTTAGCCTAAATATGTATTTCCAAAAAGCTATATAAAACCTTTTTTTTCATAGCTTAATTGATCATAATTTTCCCTCATTTTATAAAGCATCCCATTATTTTTATAGATCTACCATCGAAGTAATCATTGTCACTCATTCTAGCCTCTCAATAGGCAACAATAATTATAACAAGAACTTTATTGTTGTCTGGTATATGGCCATTTTCCCTATATCCATGGATCCCATGCCTAGAATATTTCATCCTTTTTATAATAGTCTTATACATCCATGTCAGTTTAAAGAATTACTCAATTAATGTACATAAACCTCATAGCACCTAACCAATTTTTAGATTGATATATAATCCATTATGTCCTCCACCCTCTACATCACTCATTAGTAACTCTAATAATGATGCCCATTCTGAAACCATCTCAAACTGATCAAATGCATATTAGACCTCCAAAAAAAATGAGACAAACTCAAATCAACATGAATTATGTTGGAATATAAAATGAGTATGTGAAAGCCTACTAACATAGTGAATTCTTCTTGTTTCCTTTTTTTCCTATTTTAGTAGGATATTTTCCTTATGCTCTTACTATGGACATAAGCATGCCATTAAAACACTTAAAAGTTATGTGTAATGTCACTTCATTTTCTCTTAGTGATTATTTGGTTTGTTGAAAAAGAAATGCAATATAAAAAGAATATGATGTAAATGTATATTGTTATATTTGGACCATTTTTGGAGTTAATTGGCCCAAAGAAAAATAAATGCATATTTTAACATTTTCATGTTTAGCTTGAAAAAAAAAATAAAATTAGTGTAAAGTAATGTTGGCAATGGTGGGTGTCAGGTGAATGTCGGTGGTCGTTAACTAGTGAACAATGTTAGGTGCAATTATATTAGACTCTTTTCGTAATGTATTTCAAATTCAACAAAATTTGAAAATTTTAGAGTACAACCCTTTTTCCTCAAACCGAACACTTAAATATTCAAAACCTTTGCATTTGGAAGGCAATAATCCCCTTTTACTTCAAACAAATGAGCCCATTAATACCCTTCACTTTTACTTCGATGTTTTTCAAATAGTCGGCATTCTCTTCCTACAAAAGTAATTTGACTTGAGCACTTAACATCTTCATTACTTTCTCTTAATTGAACATATACATCTTTCACCTCTTATGTGAATTGATCATAACTCTAAATCTTCCATCTCATGACCCCCTTATAACTTTCCCAATCATACACATCTGTTGGTTCTCTAATAAGTTGAAGTTGTTTGAAATCTTAGTAGATGAGCATAAAATAGACAATAACCAATTCTCATTATCACCATCCTCATTTTATTCCTTCTTGTGATGATGATAGTGAAAGCTCATTGTATTTGATGAAAATATTTATAACCATGCCACAATTGATGGAACTCTCTAGAAAGATGGATCACATTATGCATCCAAGAATTAGACATGTTGTCATGATGCTAACTAAAATGGCCACATCCATTGTGTCTGCCTCCATTACCGCTTTGTGTCCCCGCCTCCATTACCTCATCGTGTCATTCACAAAGGTCATATCAAAATATGATTTAAACTGTTCATGTTCGTATTTAAAACAATAGGCTTATAATATTTATTAAAGATTTACAAAACATTTTTTTTGTTGTAGTAGTACAAAAATAATAGAAGTTAATGCCAAATTAAATTCTTATATAATATAATAATAATGTCAAGTTTTGATCTTTGATAGTTATTGATGCACCATCAAAAAATGTTAATATAAGAGAATAAATTTTTTTATTGATATATCTGTTAAGTTTAACATTATTTATATAAATAAGAGAAATAAAAATTAATTTATGTACCATAATATTTATGTATTTATATTTCTAACCTTTATGAGTTGATATTTATATTTGTAATAGTTTGGTGTCATAATTTCAAGCATAAAAAATATATTTTATCCCTTTTTACATTTGAAGATATAAATGGTAATTTTCCTTTTACCCCGCCGTGAAAAAGATGATGGCCGAAACTCACTCCCCAGCCGGAAACCTACCACGTTCTTCCCCTCCCTCCTCGCCGCTTTTCCTCCAAGGGACGAGCAAACCCTAACCAAGCTTGCCTCCGAATTCATCTTCTTCCCTACTAATCCTCCCTCGCCGCCGTTTCCCGTCTCCGACGCTTTCGCGCCATAATCTACCGGATGCCCGTCCGCTCTAGAATGGTCCGAAAATTTTCAGTCCTTCTTTTGAATCTGGCGTCAATGTTCTGTGGCCACAGCGACCGCATGCTGAGCTGACTGATCCCATCCAGATGCTGCTGAATTTTTGGTGAGCTTAGATTGTTCTCTCATTATCCGCGCTTGTTAGTTTGGATGATGCATGTAACTAGCTTGTTTGAAGTGCTATTGAATTTTTTTCTCTTTTTAACTAGCTGAGCTGGGCATCCTTCATTCGCTGGAACCAATTCCTGCTTTCTAGTTGCATTCTATAGAAAATGAATTGTTCTCCATTTAATTTATTCATAACAGTTGGTTAGACTCTAATTTTATTGTCTTGCATAACAATAAACGGTATTTTGGCGTTATTTTAGGGTTGGTTAGTTTTTTTTTTTTTTTTTTTTTTTTTTTTGTTGGTAAATATTGTGGTTTATCGATTGGGATTCACTTATAGAATTGGCATTATGGTATTATAAAATTGAGTCCAAATGTTTGTTTGGTAGATAGCGAATGAAAGTGTGTTCCTTATTTTGGAATTCATGTTTGCATAAGTGATAGGGTTGAGGGCTTAAAAGTCAACTTTTATATTACTCTTTATTTATTTATAATAAATTAAATGATAGAGTAGAATATTAGTTTAAATATAATAATGCAACAACAACAACAACAAGGTTTTATCCCACCAGGTGGGGTCGGCTACATGAATCGGTTAAAGGCTTAGCATAGATGACTTTTAGCATCACAAATAAGAACATCAACCTTGAATCTTAGATATAGGCTGAAACTGACCACCATTGCAAATACATCTAATGTAATGGTTCGAAGAAGACTTATAATTTATTTCATCTCATATCTCCACTTAAACAATCACCTCCTTCAAATTAATCTTGACCAACTCCTATATCATATACTCAAAAAACCTGTGTCACTTACAATATACGTGCCTCCTCCCTCTATATCCCTTATAAACCCTCACAACTTCTCAAGGCCTTGAAACACCCTTTATTTTAAAAAAACTCAAGCCAAAGTTTCTATATATATAAAAAAATAATTATTGTTTGTTCACTATAACAATCAACTGAAGAAATTCATAACTCTATGATCACTCGCCTAAATACTTTAAAAATATGTCCAGTAATTCTGTAGTTTCCCAAACATATTATTTGAAATTCCCCATTTCTACCTTCCAAAGAAAATGAATGTAACATAATAAAGAAGTTCTAGCTCCAATTATGCTCATAAAATCTACACCTTTTTCCCTTCCGAGACAATCCCTTTACCACCATCCAAAGAAGTGAACATTTACTTGTAGTTTAGGGTAATCTTCACCATAAAGATCTTCTTGATCCCACATCTTCTTAGTATCAAAGATATGTTTCAAGGAGGTCAAGACTAAGTAGCTTCAAGGTGTTAAGTGATATAATAAGTCAATGGTTGAAATTTGATTTCTCATTAAGATAAATTTTTTGAGGCACTATTCGAGTTATGTGGTGATTTTTTTTTCTTATTGGAGTGAAGTTTGTAATTTTTCATTGCCTTAATTCTACCGTAATTGTTTGAGAGAATGATATTTTAAAGTATAGAATTGACATGTTATTCAGTGATAGATAAGCTTAATTTATTTGTCCTTCAAGTAGTAAACGCCACTAGCAAGCCAAGCCAATCCTGACCATAGACCCACCATACTGATACAAATCAAAGCAAACAATAATGGATAAACAATGAATAAATTTCAATAGAAAGATGGGAGAACTCAAATGAGGGTTGATTTTGTTAATATTAATGAAAGCAAATATGATACAACGTTGATTTACTGTTTAATATGTAGATCGTCTATCCACAAATTTAGATACCGCTAGGATCACCAAGATAAAAGAAAAACTGCAGCCAAAAAAACCTCAAACAAACCCTAGACAAGTAACCCTCATAAATACTTTCCAAGATCCCCTTCCAATCTTTCTCCCAAAAACCTTTCTTGATTCCCTTCTTGTACATGGCGGCTGTATGGACCTTACCTGTGCGCTGAAATCATGCTCAACCTCTCCTAGGTACCCATCCCTCTATACTGGGCCAGCTGGACTAGCTGGGTATGGCTGATCCAAACCGGTCCAATTTGGATCAGCTCGCCTCTTCCATCGTTTCCCCCTTCCCTCTGAATAGGAGGCACATGTGTATCATCTCTCCCCTCATAAAAAAGCACATTGTCCTCAAGTTGAAAGGATGAAAATTACTTATGGATGCACTCGTAAGACTACCATGTTACTTCATAATCTGGCAGATCTTTCCACTTAATCCTTACCTCCTTTTCTTCTACCACTCCATGGCGTGCTCCTTTGAGTGCTAAAGGTTTCATAATCACCTCCATGTCCTCTGTTAGTGTCCGAGGTAGTGAAGATGATGATGTATGATCTTTGATAGCCCGTCTCAGCTACGAAACATGAAAGACTGGATGTAGTGCTGATGATGGTGTTAACATTAAACGGTATGCCATTGCCCCAACTTGTGTTGTAATCTCAAAGAGTCTGAAACATCGTATATAGTTTCTAGCTCCTCCGCTTGGTTAATTTCTTTTGCATCATGGGTCTTTGTTTCAAGTAAAACATGTCCCTGAGTTGGAACTGTATCTGTTTCTTATGTATCTCCACTTCTTTTTTACGATCTGGTGAGCGTTTAGTAGATGTTTATTGAGTTATGCCAATATTCTACCCCTCTCCTTTAAGTACTGGTCGACATTGGATAGCGGTGTAGTGTTGTGCCCATAATGTATCAGGTGAGGTGGATTATGTGTACAAAATCTTGAAAGGTGTGGTATGTGCTGTAGTATGGTATGAAGTATTATAATAATATTCGGCCCGCGTAATCTAACTGGTCCAAAGCTTTGGCGTATTCAATACAAAATATCATAGATATTTCTCTACTCTCCTGTTGACCCCTTTGTCTGACCATTGGCTGGGGATGATAGGTTGTGCTTCTCTTAAGGACTGTTCCTTATAACCTGAACAACTCTTTTCTAGAATTGGCTGATGAACACATTATCTTTGTCTGATACAATAGATTCTGGCACTCCATGCAAACAGATCTCTTCCCTTATGAACATTGTAGTGACTAAGACCATAATTAGTAGGGGCTCCTCCACCTTTCTCGATAAGGTATTTGCGGCTTTATTCTTCAATCATAGCCGATACTAAATCTCAAAATCATATCTCAGTAACTTGGATTGTCATCTTTAATGCTCTCAGTCATCATCTTCTGCTCCCAAAAATACTTCAGGCTCTTCTGATCTGTCTTGATGCGAAAATGTCTTTCCAACATGTAGGGTCGCCACTTCTAAATAGCCAAGATAATAGCCATCAACTCTCACTCGTGCATTGAGTTGAGCCTCACCCTAGTTGTGAGAACTTGGTTGAAGTAGGCGATCGGTCGTTGATCCTGTATGAGTACGCTCCTAATCTGTACCCTGACACATGTTTCTACGACAATTGGTTTATTATAAATCAGGAAGTGTCAATACAAGTAAGGTGTTCATTGTTCCCTTCAGATGTTTAAAGATCTGTCGCTTCTTCCCCCACTTGAAATTATCTTTTTTCAACTTTTCCGTCAGTAGTCATGCTATCTTGTTGTACCCCTTCATGAATTTTCGGTAGTATACAGTGAGACCTAGGAATTCCCTCAGCTCCTTCAAATCTTGGGTAAAGGTCGGTCCATCATATCCTAGATCTTGGATGGGTCCATTATTACTCCTGCCCTGGTCACCATGTGCCCTAGGTATTGCACCTGTAGCTGTAAAAGAACATTTCTTCACATTGGCGTACAATTGTTGCTCTCTCATCATTTTCAGGATTGTTCTTAGGTGGCCCACATACTCTGTCTTTGTACAACTGTAAATCAAAATGTCATCAAAGAAGAACAAGACAAATTTCTGAGGCAAAATTAAAAAACCCAATTCATGAGGGACTAAAATGTGGGCGGGGCGTTGGTGAGGTTAAACGACATTACCAAGAACTCATAATGTCCGTAATGTCCCTGAAGTGTTATAAACGTGGTCTTGTGCACCTCCGTTGGATTCATCCTGATCTGGTGGCATCCCAATTTAAGATCGATTTTCAAGAAGATGACTGCTCCATAAAACTCATTTAACAACTCATCAATCACGAGGATAGGAAAATTATCTAACAGTATCTTTGTTCAAATCCTAGTATTCCACGTAAAATCGCTAGTTAACATCTTTTTTTTTCACTAACAGGACTCGACTAGAAAGGTGCTTACATTGAGTCTGATAATTCCTTATTTGAGCATCTCTCTGATCAAAATTTTTATCTCGTCCTCTAAATTTGAGGACATCAAAACGGTCTAACACTAATAAGATGAACACCCTCTTTTAGGTTAATGGCATGCTCGTGCTCCCTAGATGACGGTAATCTGCTCGACTGCTAAAATATGTGGAGAAACTGTTGTAGGAGTTGCTGAACTCTCTTGAGAAACTTTCAGACTCAAGATATCTAATCTCCTCTATGCGTTGCAACTCCAAATAGCCTAACCTTGCTCCTCGTATCGTCTTGACTATGTTTTTGAGCAAGACCAATTTTCTACATAAGCTAGCATCTCCCCTCAGCACCACCTTCTTACTCTCCACCTTGAACTTCATCTTTAGGGATTTTCAAACCACCTTTGTCTCCCCAAGTGCCTGCAACCTCTTCATCTTCAAAATCACATCAGTGTTGCTCAATTCCACGGGAAAAAAGATCACTACCACCCGTAGGCACTGTAGTGTCAAAGTTATTTCTTTGCAAATACTTTGGCTTTTCTCCATATTTCTTGTTCCCATTATGACCGCAAAGCTTCTTGTATCTACCGGCTCCAACCCTAGTTGATCCATTACCTTATTTGAGATGAAATTGTATGGCTCCACTATCCACCAACATTATAATTGGCTGCTCCCCGATGTGTCCCCTCACCTTCATAGTGTCATTCAGAGTAAATTCCACCACTAAATTGAGGGACACACATCTGCCACATGTAAGTGCAAATGCTTCTTTTCCTCCACCGTGTCATTCTCTGACTCCCTACTATATGTCCCCTCCTCATGAACTACAAGGAGCTGTAGCGCAAGCT